TTTCCAGCCTTCTTTTAATTTTGGCATTTTCTGTTAGCAACACAGTCCTTGCTGTAGCCTTCTGCTTCTGTTACTTTTGGCAGAAGTGAGGATGAGGGTGAGGTGTGTGTCCCTGGGGCTTAGAGAGTATGGTGGAGCTGAAGATGGACTATGTGTGTGTGTGGGGGGGGGGGGGTAAGAAAACAGCAAGTGTGAATTCTGAACATTTCTCTTAATAAAGAGGCTCAGAAACAGCTAGTAAAAAAACCACCAGAAAGGAGTTGTAGGTTAGAAAAGATGAAAAATTAGGTGGTATGTTTTATGATGGTGTAGTTCAGTCAGAGGACAAGGAAAATCTAAAGGAAATAAGATCAGAGGACCAATAAGTGCAGTGTGGTGGAATGTATTAAAAATGTCTGCACTTCTGGCACCAAATTTTATTTTATTTTTGGCTCAATTTCCTCAGAGTTCTGTCTCAGTTGTTTAGATTCCAAATACTTTGTGTGATTGTTCTACTGTGAAGATAACTCTATTTTATGATATGAAAAAGAAGATGTAGTTTAGGGAATGTAATAAGAATTACACCCGTAGTTTCTCATTGTTTTCTTCTGTTTAGGTTTTACATGAAAACTTATATTCTCAAGCAACCACCTAAGTGCTAAATTTGCTTAGTACTTGCTCAAAATCCATTGGGATTTTTTCTTGGGGAGGGGACTATAGCACTAGCAATAATAGTGCTATAGCCTGTAATCCTTAATATATATATACTTGATTTGTTCAGTTCAGAAGTGTGTACAGTCATTTGCCCTACAGACCTGTAGATGTTTATTTACGGCAGAAGAACCCATTATGTCAGTTCTGAAAGAGGCTCTTACACATTCTCTCAGATAGCCTGTATGGTCAAAACAGAGGTTCACCTGTAAGCTGAACGCTCGTGAGGAAGAGAGGGCTGACACAGTACTGGCCTCATCCAGTCATTGGGGCTGCTGCGTTAAGGAGGTTCTGTTGTATCCTCTGTATGTCCTCACACTGGATGGCCAGTTCCCCTGCCACAGACGTGTCCAGACTCACCGCCTTCTCCTCCCTTCCTGGGTCTGCGTTGGTTTCCCTGGAAGCACATTTTCCTTTTGCTCAGTCGGACACCTCACAATTGCTTTCTGCTGTTCCACTTTGTTTCCCGTACTCCTCAGTCATTAAAACCCAGGAGTCTTTACAGAGGAGGAGGTTTCCACCTTTGATGTTGGAGAGCACTAGGTTCTAGCTGCCCTGGTTCTGCCACTAAATAGCTGTGCTTCCTGCGCAAATTACTCTCCTTCTCAGTTCCCTCGTCTGTAAAATGGAGCTGTAAGGGACAAAAAACGTTTGCTAAAAAATGTGTATCTTGAAACTGAACTGTAAGAAATATTCTGGGAAGTTCTTGGTAGAAATAAATGTATCTATAGTTTTTAATTAGATAGGTGAGCACACACACACACACACACACACACACACACTTAGGATAGTTGTGAGCACCAAATCTAATATCTAAAGTGTCTAGAATGTTGTAAGTACTCAACAAATGGCACCAGGCCCCACTGTTGTCATTAAGTAAGATTATTCCATCTTCCATATCCGTTCCTTCCTTTGGGTGTCACCTGGTCTCAGCTCTTGGCCCTTCTTTCTTGCATTAGTGCCACACCTTCTTGACTAATCTTCATGTTGTCTAAACTATTTTGCCAGACTAACAGTTTTTAAACATGTGGTTTTTTTTTATTAACATACTAAAAAATTGTTAGTAGATTCCAGTTTCCTCATTATCTAAACTCTGGGATCCAGCTTTCTAGGCCTCTGTTTGCAGGAAGGAGCCTCCTCCTCAGTCTGTCTGCATTCACCCTGGTGGCCCCAGCCCCCTCAGACCATTACATACACTGCATCTAGGACAAACCTTTCCAAACAGGTCAGATGTCACACACACGTATACCACAGGTACCGCACACATTACAGAAAACACTTCAAGGGACTCAGTATACCATGCCATGGTATTCACGGTCCTGTCTGGGACAGCCCCACCTCCTATCTCTCTCCCCTTACCTCGTATCTCTCTGCCCCTTGCTAGCTCCACACCAGCCAAGAGGCCGTTTCTAAACTTGATCTACTTGGTTGCTTTCTTCATAGTCTGGTACATGGCTTTTCCTCTGCCTTTAATGTTCTTCCTGTCCCACCCTTTCCTCATTCTTAATCATTGTTTCAGCTCCCGGTATAAATATCACTTTCTTAGGGGAGCCTTTTCTGAATAAATTAAAGTTGTTACCTCCTAAAAAAACAATGGACCTATCCTTTGATGCATTTAGCACAGTTGCAATTTTACAGGTACCTTGCTGGATATTTCACACTCTTATTTCTTCCCAAGTAGGGAGCAAGCTCCAAGAGTATAAGTTTTAGCCATTGTTGCTTTTTTTTTCTTTTAATTCTTTGGATTTGTGCTTGGCACACAATTTTAAAAAGTACTAAATTAGTGATTGATTTTTGTTTTCCTTTCTTCATCCTGAATCCCATAACTCCAGAACATAGATAGACTCATGTCACATCCCTTTCATCATTCTACCATTAATATGCAACCTTTACCCAAGTCTCCCCCACCTGGACTGTCTGTTTTGCCTCCTGTGATCCACCTAACTCTGTCAATCAAGGCTCCAGTGTTTCTTCAATAGAATCTCTGAAAGCCATGCTCGTCTTCTTGAAGAGCCCTTCTTTTTGTATGTTTAGAACTCACCATTTCCTTTTACACTTGGTGATTGACGACAGCACCCTGTTTCACATAAGTAACCTGTTTTGCTTTGTCAGATTTGCAGGTCTTACAGAAGCTGGATCAGTTCTGTGTCCTGCTTAGACCATAAAGCATGCTGTCTAATATATAGTAAGAGACAAAAAATGTTTGCTAAAAAGTGTATATCTTGAAACTGAGTTGCAAAAAACATTCTGGGAAGTTTTTGGTAGAAATAAATGTATCTGGCATGCAGATTCAAAACTACTGAATTTTAGTCCTTTCACCCATGGGCCCATCTCTAAGAAATTGGAGTTCTTAAGCTAAAGGACAGTCCTAATGTGACGTGGGCAGTAGAAACCTCAAAAAACTATTCTTTTCAAAGTTTGCAATCAGTGAAAAGGACTTTTCCTTGTCATCTTAAAATGGCTGTCTTGACTTCTCCAGGTCAAAATTCACATACTTTTCTTTGAGGCTTTTAACATCTGCCTGTCTCTGAAATCTTTCAGATTCCAACTTATATACTTAATAATTAAATTGAATAAGTGTTTTATGATTACGATGAACATTTCAGGCAGCCAACTTATGCCTGTGTAAAAGCCTATGAAAAATTTTATCTGAAGTCATTTGAAAGATAATACCAGCAAATCATTTCAGCATCATAAGGCATATTAAAAATCTTGGTCGGAGCTACCTACTAGCAGGAACATGAGCCATACAGATGCTCCAGGCTACCTCCATGGCACCCCTTATTGCATGTCTGACTATCAGATCCTCTGGTATTACAGTACCTTACAATCTTGTCATGTTACAGATGAGTTATTAATTTTACCAGTTGTCATTAAAGTAAGTAAAACAAATGTTCAAGAATAAGAGGAGATGGAAATGTATTTTTTAATACCGAAGTGTAAGTAGGTGTTCAGCAACATGGAGTCTGAAAGACATAAATGATGCAAAGTACATTCATGGGCAAAGTAATTTTCAATTGCAAATATAAAATATTTTAAGGTATAAGTGCATAATGTGCACACTGAGGTACGACCTCTCACCTCAATGTATAGAACATTTCTTCCCCTGCAGAAGGCTCCCTTGTTCCCAAACCTCACCACCTGCCACAGTGTAATTAGCTTGATTTCTACCACCATTGGTTAGTTTTGTCTCATTATGAAAATGTATAGAAATGAAGTCATTCTTTTGTTTCTGGCCTCCTTTGTTAACATTCGTTCATGTTGCTGTGAGGATTCATGGTGTGTTCTTTACTGCTTTACAGAATTCCACTGGTTGAGCACACTATGATTTATCTATCCATCCTTCTGTCCATGGGCATCTGGGTTTTTCCAGTTTCTAGTTATTATGAATAAAAGTGCTATGAACATTCTCATACGTGTCTTTTGCTGAACATATATACTTATTTCTCTCATGTTAATCCTTAAGAGTGAGACTGCTGGGTCATAGGGTAAGCATATGTTATTTAATTGTAGTATATACTGCCAAGCAGTGTTCTTAAGTGATTGAACAATGACTCATAAGCAGAATATAGGAATCTAAGGTAACTACTAATGCATAGTACAAATTGTCCTATTTATTTATGACTTATTAATATTAATTGACACTTTAAAGGTATATTATTAATATGTTAACTTAGGCACTAAAACGTGGCCAGGCCAAGTGATGGTTGCAATTAAAGGTGAAAGAATGTTGAAAAACATTTATAGCCTAAAATTTCATTTTAAAAATTCAGCTTTATAGGCAGGCATTAAACAATTGGAATGTTAATAAATGCTATAATTTAGTGAATTACTCTTTCCTTCAGAGAGTTGAGAATTAATATTTAGAGAATAAAATTAACTAATAATAACTTAGAAAAATGTATTAGGAAATTTGTTTGCCTTGGTCAAACAAGAAGTCATTATTCAAAACAGACACATGAAAAGAGATGGTGATTTGGGCTAAACAGATTTTGTTGAATAATTGGAGTTTATTCCTCCTACATCTGACAAAAATAACATCTTGATGTCCTAGTCCCATGCAATTATTTTTCTATCTATTTTGATTTCTCTCATAAAGCGATGAATTGTGACTGGAGTATTTGCCTGCTTTCACTTTGTAAGTTCTTTTGAAAGGAAGATGTCTCTCTACCTATTTACAGGGATTGAAAGCCACCAAGCACTAAATTTTCTGTGCAGAGACGTAGGGAAATGGGAAACCCCAGGCAGATGTCTCCTGTCCTTTGCTTCTATGGGTAAAATAAGATGTGATTTTGCTTTTTTTGTTTCAGTTATCTCAGGGATCTCCAGAACCAATCGAGCCCAACTTTTTCACAGCAGATTACCACTTATTACATCACTCATCAGGGGGAAACAGCCTGTTCCCGAATGACCTGACAGGTAATGGTTAATGGGTAATGGGTAATCAGACTTTCACAAAGACATGTGCTATGATCAACTAAATGATTGTCTTCAATTTAAAGAAAAAATAGAGCTAATTTTGATTATCTATGGCAGTAGTTAGAAGGGCAATATGGTAGGAATCTAGAAATTCCCCTTAATTTATCTTACACCGTTGTGGCAGCTTCCTTGATCATTTCTTAATACTGTAAACAAACAGCAGAATCTTTGCGGGTGAATTGTGTTTCCCTTTATTTCTCCTTGCTTATCTGATGACGGGGAAATCAAATGTCCTAAAGCATATAGGGAAATGCTAAAATAAAAAGTTGACATATTCAAAATGTAGAACACTTGAACCTCACCTGAAAAATCCACATCAGATATATTTAACTTTTTTTCTTTTTTTGCATAAATTCCACATTGGGAGGCAGTATAACACAGGGATGTGAAGGCACAGATTCTGGAAACCTGGATGCCCAGATTCAAATCTTGGCTCAAGTATTTAGTAGCCAACCGTGGACAAATTATTTAACCTCTCTGAGCCCCAGTTTCCTCCCCTGTACGATGTGGATAGAAATAATCCCTGCATCATGGGGTTATAGAAAGCATCAGAGTAAACACAAAAAGTGCCTGTCCAGCAGTAGGGGCTCAGCATAATCGAATTCTTCTTGTCCTATTTGAACTCTAAGAGGAAGTTTTTGAGCCACTTTGAGATTTCAGAATTCCTAAATAATTTTTGAATCTTTATGAGCTATTGTTACATAACTGGCTGGAGTGGATAGAAGTGAAGCTTTTACAGTTAAATGAAGACTTGCCATCTCTACAGTTTGGAAAAATGCTTACTTTTGCTGTGTTTTTGCTGTTGCCTATGCAAATCATTTAATGCAGTAATAGCAAACTTTCTCTATGTCTAGGACTCCTGGGATAAAGCTAACCCCTAAGTAGGAAGAATTTTATTTAAAATCATCCCTGAGAAATTCATAAGATAAAATAAAATGTCATTTGCTTGTAAAAAACCTCTCCCAGGACAGGTAAGTTCATCTGTAGGCCAAACTTATAGCAACTTTGAAGAAGTAAAGAACTTGATAAAAATCTCTCAAAAGTGGCTCAGTGCCTGTAGCTAAGGTGCCAACCATATACACCAGAGCTGGCAGGTTCAAATCCAGCCTGGGCCTGCCAAACAACAATGACAACTACAACCAAAACATAGCTGGGTGTTGTGGCGGGCACCTGTAGTCCCAGCTACTTGGGAGGCTGAGGCAAGAGAATCGCTTAAGCCCAGGAGTTGGAGGTTGCTGTGAGCTGTGATGTCACTGCACTCTATCCAGGGTGACAGCTTAAGGCTCTGTCAAAAAAAAAAAAACTCTCAAAGGCCTCAGAGCCCTTGACAAACTCTTCCCAGGGCAGCTGGAGGCCACCACCACCTCCCCCAACTGGCTGAACAGGCTTGGCACTTGTCACAACAGGCTGGGCAAAAGCAAAGACAACAGAGCTGGTCAGGAAGCATGTGTGGGATGCCTTTAAACTTAGCTTTAAAAAACGTGTAGAGTATAAATGTATTAACACAATAATTAAGAAAGTTCGGTGAAGGCTGTTAACCAGTTTGATGAAAGTATTTCAAATTGTATATAAAACCAGCACATTGTACCCCATAAATGCATTAATGTGCACACCTATGATGTAATAAGAAAAAAACCAAAACAATATTTTAAAAATGGGCTGCCAGGATTCACATCTTCATGCCTTCCCTCAACCTTGAACCCATTCGTTTTTCACTCTTCAAAGTGGTAGAAGAACTCCTAGGCCTTCATCATTGTTGACTGGTTTGAGTGAAGGGTGGTCAGCAATGCTTTTGGGGGCATTAGTGTGTATGAAGGTGGTGGCATGCCAAATTCAGGCCAACTGCTAAAAAGTTTCCCATATTAAATGTATTTAATTTCCCTGTATGTAGCCAAATGAAAAGGTCAGGACTTTGTTGTCTCTCTCTACCCCTATAAGAATTCATTTTCTGTCTAGCACATGTTTACCCTTTTTGCCTCATGAATTAGGGAGAATTTCTTAATCAGAAAACTTACCCATCAGGTACTTTGTGTTTGGAATCACTCATCACCTGCACTTACTACATCCAAACACACACACACTCCTGACTTACTTGGCCAATATATGAGCAGTGCCCCTAAATCTGTGTATATTATTTTGTGATGACTATGCCCAATTCAGCCAGATATTAAAGGAAGTTTGAATATTCAAAGCCACATCACTTTGGAATTTGCTTATAAGTTTTATCTTTATCATTAAGAAATTGAGCTGTTTGTACTGTCATCAAAGTTCGTAATTGCCAATAAAGTTGAACTAAGAAAATGTGATCCAACTATCACACTCTTTGTAATTTATCTATTTCAGGTCTACCCACCAGCTTTGATTTGGAGGAGGGAATAACATATGAACAGATGCAGGTAAGATTTTTTCAGTGTCTGTGAATGATTTCATTTTTAGTGCTTTTAATTCAATGCTATTTTTTTTTCAATTTTAGACTGTGATTGAAGAAGTCCTAGAGGAAAGTGGCTATTACAATTTTATATCTAAAAGGTAAGACCTAGAGTTTGCTTTCAAATGTGAAAGATGAATTGAGATAATTGGATGTTAGACCTGATTTCTTTCTTTTTTTTGATTCCAGAGGGGTTTTTTCTTTTAATTTTTATTATAAACACTTCCATGATATATTTTTGCTTAGATTAGATACATGCACAGTAGAATATATGTTGCCCATCTTTTATGTGGACACAGCTATTGAATTCTCTTTTGAAATCTAAAAGGTGATTTCTTAGTAGTAATTTACTCCCATAAAAAATAATACATATAATTAAATGGAAAAGTACTTCTTAATTGCTTTTTTAAAAAAATTAAATATTTTTCCTATTCTAAAAGACTTAAAAACTCATATTTCTATCACTTTAATCTACTCACTATTTGCATGGTAGGCTAGGGGAAAAAATGCAACTAAACAAAGAATCATTTTAGGTAAATTTAAGATAATGTTTGTTTGGAAGGGACTTTGGTATTATGTTTTGCTATTTCCTTACCTTAGATAAGAAACCTTTAATTACAGGGACTGTATATTATCTTTTGATGTAACCATTGTTGGTGCTTTATAAATATGTGCTATTTTATCAATTTAATCCAGTTCTGGATTCTTGTAATTTTACTTTTCGACTTAGTGCACCACAACAATTTGAGGGCAATTATTGTATTTGAGACATGATTGTGAATGATTGGAGCATAGTCCACTGGGGAAATCTGAGAGCCCCTGTAGGATACATACTCAAGTTATCCCACTGAAGGAGAGAAGGAGCTGGGGTATTTGTCCTCCAATCTCCATTAGTCATTGTTTGAGGGCTATCCTTAGGAAATGTTAATTCTCTGGTATTTCTGACCTTACACTGTGGGCCAAGAAGGCTCTAGGTGTCAGATAAATCTTCAGGAAAAGAAACGTTGGTACTAGCAGTTGGAAGTGCAGCCAGGATGCTTTGAAGTGGTATAGATGAGGGGATATGAGGGTTTACAAGGACTGCTACAGATGGGTTTCCCAAGGATCCCACTCCTGGTTGAATCATTAAATTGGCTGCAAGCATCCACATATATACTCTTTATTGGCCCAAAGTTGTTTTAGAAGTCATAGTCCTCTAGAATATGTTCACCCAAAGTGATCTTTCATGCCTGGAGTAACTGCCTTCTTTTCTAGCTATTAAAGCCACTTTTTGACCACTTTTTAGATTATTCCAGTAATCTTCCTCAAAGAGAAGTAGTAGCCATGGTAAGAGAAAGTGGGCTCAGTAACATCCTGTTAAAGTCATTCTGTGGAAATTAGATTATTTTTTGAGGTTCAGTCTCTAATGTTTTTTATCTTCTTCCATTTCAAGCAGTTTTTCTTGCGAATCACAAATAAGTTATTTAACTACTTGCTCTTTTACCTTGATAATATAGTTTCAAAATACTACCTTTATACATTTAGTTCTGTTGCGACTTGTAACTGCAGAGCAATGATGAGTAGTTCTCATTTTCTAAATATACCTTGTTAATGAAATTACTATTTCCACAACCACTCTGCCCCCACCATCCCTGGAGAGATTTTTGCATTTCCATTTTCTACTGAAGGGCTGAGTATATCCAGCCTTGTGTGGACAGTATAAATCTTTCTGTTCTTGACTCTCAGCATCTTATTATTTCAACTGCCTTTGGTTTATGGGTAAAGTTCACTCTTGTTGTTTATCTGTGTTTCCTCAGAGACTCGGGATCATGAGCAATAAATGCCTTCATATATTTGCAGAAAATCAACTAAATGTGAATGAAAAACTAAGTGTGCAAGGAACTTAAGGAAGCTTTTATGAGAGATCTTATTTTCACTTCAAAAATAATTATTTAAATCTTATTTAAGAATTTACAGTTATTCTTTTTCAGTTCTTCTGCCATTAAGTTTTCTAATAATCTATTTCCAGAGACATAATCCATTATTAAAGGACATTACATCTTTTCTCATTATGATAAACAGAAAATAAGATGCCTAATCATAAAGGCAAAGCATTATTCACAGTTATATCTGGAATTGTGAACAGAATATGAAGGCATGATTTGAGGAGTCAAGTCGAAGCAACATAAGTTGGTTACAACTTACAGTAAATTTTGCTAAAATGCTTGAATTTAAAATGAATCACATTTAAAAATCAATATATCCATGGTATTCCCTGTGGGGTCTAATAGCAAAAGTAGAACATATCTTTGGAGAAATACTCTTCACAATTTATTAGTAAAAATAACTCTTGGTTGTGCCTAAAGCTACTACTTACTCATTCTCAAGTGTTGTTGCAAATTTATTTTCAAGAAGTAAGTCAGACTTTCCTTAGAAGCACCTAATAATCTATGAGCTAAAAATACACATAACTCCAAATACAAATCAGGTCAGGTGGTACTGTCACACTTTTTCTATGACATTCCATAGGAGAATGCTAATGTCACAGGAGTCAGCATTTGTAATTAGTAGAGTATTTTAGTAATTAGTGTTTAGGAGTATCAGTATTTTTCCCCCAGGATTTTCCATACAATAGCCAATATTATCAAAGATATTAATAGAGGTTCTTTGAACAATAAAGTTTCTTGACCACATAAATATATTTGGGAATTTTTAGGGAATGTTGACACAAATTCTATATTATAAACTCTGAGATATACTGTAGGAAAGAAATGTGTTGACCTTGTTTCTTCGCCCCAGTGTTTTCCTCATTGTTGACATGGTTTACAAGTTGAGAAAGCTGCCCTAGCTATATGGCTGAAAATGGGAAGTCTGCCGAGATCTGCTGTCGTTCTCGTTAATATCCTCATCTTACTTGTCATTATTGTCACTGCAAAATGTTACTGAATGACCTTGATTAAGCACCATTCAGAGAGAATTACATATATAATTCCTGTTTTATTCACATTTACAGTTTAAGACTGTCAGTTTATACACAATTCATCCGAACAGCCACTAAAGCACTAAGCCAAGATAAGGTGCGATTTCAGCTTAGATCGAAGAGTTTATATGTAAGCAGGGAAGAGAATAGGGAGATGCCATTTTCAGCAGAAAAGTCTCAGGATAAAACCACTGTCTATCTGTTAGCTATCTTTGGGGAAGATTTCTGAAACTATTTAAATAAGAAAGCCTCCTTGGACAGCCAGTTAGGAAGAGTATCTCAGGCACAAAGGGCTGTGTTAGGAAAAGAAAATGGCGGCAGGAACAGAAAAGGTAGCAAGGATTCCTGACCAGAATGGGGGACTTCTCACTCTGGGCTTCTAGGGAACTAGGCCTGACTTGGAAGGAGGAAAGCCCATAAAGAAACTGAAAGAAAGTCAGAAAGGCTTGGTCTGTCTCACCAGGTTCCCAAAGAAGGCGCTATTCTTGCTCGTTTGCAGGGTTGTATGATAAATTATATTTAACTTATATAAACATTTAGCTTCCTTACCAGAAGGATACAACTTAACATGCCTTAATTTTATCATTATTGTTTTGGAAAGTAAAACTGAGTTCTGTGAATGAGAAAACAATCCAGGTATCATCATTGTGTGATTATTATCAGGACGTTATTATTTTATTTCTTAATAAAATATGTGTTGAGAAATAGCAATATACAAGAAAATAAAAGAAAAGCTACATTGGTCAACTTGCATTGCTTTATTTCCCAATTGACTGATGAGCATGTAAAATAATTATTTTAATGTATTTAGGCATCATATATATAGACTACTTTGAATAGGTGTTTATTTTTCCACTATAAATGTTATCAGTTCCTACTGAGTTCATAATTTAAGGAAGGACTTGTGTGCAGTAAATTTTAGTACAAGGCAACTTTCTAAAAATGTTCTCAACCTGATAAAAAGAATCATCTTTTTAATTATTGTGACCTATTTACTTATATGCCTGAGCCACAGCTTTTGAAATAGAATGTGTGAACTAAAATATTAGTAACTCGAGAGAACTTTTTTCACTTCTGAATCTTACAGGTATCATTCCTACCCTTGGGGGACCAAGAATCATCCAACCAAAAGATGAAAATGCTGCATTTTGAATGGACTTGGTTTTCCTGTGAAGTTCAAGTTCCAGGCTTCAGCCACTACTGCGGGATGTCCCATGAATGGGTGCTGCTAGAAGGGTTTGGAAGAGAAAAGACCAAGATGCCACAGGGCCCACAGGGTCTCCTTCTGGAGGTTCTGTGCTGAAGGATGTGGCAGCTGCAGGGTTTGGCAGTGCCATTGCTGGGACACATTATATGTAGGATGACAGGGCTTTCGATGTGTTCCTGGGAGAAAATGCTACAAAATTCATCTGGGGGGCAGGGAGGGTGGATCCCCACTCTTATAGACTTTACTTTGAGTTTAAAAGAAAAAAAAAACTTCATATTTTTCAAAGAGACATTTTGTACTCAAAATTGCTGAAACTAGGTTGAAAGGCATCTAGCCTTCCATGTATAAAAAATAGTTTTAGATAAAGAAAATTATAGGATCCAGAATTATATATTGGGTGATTCACTGTATCCCCTATTTTTTGCCTTTAAAGAAATTTAAAATATGTGATTGGATTTTTTTCATGAAAGGATTGATTCTCTCTTAACCATGTGGGTGCTAGTGATCTTGAACTGATAAGTATAGACAGTATTTGGAACCTTGCACAGTCTCTGGAAATAACTGTCAGATTACCAGATTTAAGTTAGACTAATAGAATCTATTGGTGTACATTGGGTGTATATGTACATATATATGGGAGGCGGGAGGGAGGTTTTGATTAGACTAATGCTTTGCTGCTAACCCGACGTATAGTGTTTTTAGAGCACTTTGAGCAGTTCATAGAATCTATGAAAAAGGCACTATTCCTCATCCCAAATCCCTCCTCACTAAAATTGCCTGCATTGTCTATAAATTTTAATTGCTTGGGAATTTGCAATGAAAATGTCATATAGTAAAATATAAATTTTATCTATATTTATATTTTTGATCTGAGTAAATTTAGACAGATCAAAGAAAGGGAAATCGGAATGCCAAACAGTGTCCCGTCCCTTTGCAGGGAAAATTTATGATGAAAGTTTACTAGATTCTTACTGGGCTTACCTTCTTCTCTTCAGCTGGCTTCTTATAACTCTGGTGTAATGTCAAGAAACGCCCTCATTGCCAAATCAGACGCTGCTTCTAATTACCTGAAGAACAATTATTCTATATAACTAGTAATCTGAAAGCTGAAATTATGCTTTTTATTTATTTCTCACTGAGTTCTATTATTTTTATTTACATTAATATATTTTTAACATGATTGAATTTAGTTCAATATATTTGCAGTGGTTGAAACACATTAATTTTCTATATACTATGAACATCTATGAGAATCTATACTATTCTTAAAATTAGTAGTTTAATAATTAAGTGATATTGAAATTCCCTTTAATCATGCACTAATGAAGATTGCCAATGAACCTTTCTTTCTCTTTGAGCCAAATTAACAATCACTGCATACACTATAATTTAACATAATAGCTGGAAGTACAGTAATGAACAATTTCAGTTCAGTTTTCAAACCAGTTCTTCGTGTATGTGAAATTCATAAGCAAAATCAGATGCTATGTATTGTTTATTTACCCAGGTGCAATTTTATTTCTCTTCCAACTTAATTTGAACCTGCACCTTCATACTTTGTATCTCTTTAAGTATGGAAGGGGAAGATTTCCTCACTCTACCGACGCACAGGTCTAGAGGGGCACAAATTCTAAGTATGTTAGAAGCCCATACCTAGAAAGTTTTATTGTGGGAGTTTGAACAAACAAATTTTCTCAAATGGCAATATAAGTAAACAGAGTTTAGAAAAGAAAAGTCTTCAGAAGTCACACCTTGGTAAGAAAAGAGAAACAGTTTATATGACGGTGTTGTTACATACTTACAGTTGACCTTATTGATCAGCAAAGAAGCAAAATGTTTCTATCTAGGTCTTTTAGGCCATAGAAATGGCATTTATTTATGCTAGAAGCCAGCAAAAGTTAACAAAAATATGCAAACGTGTCTTTTTCAACAGCAACTTCAGGCCCATCAAATCTATGCTGATATATGTATTGCTTTGATAAAATAATGACTATGCTCCATTTGAATCCTTCCTAAATCCCTTCTTCCTATGTTTGACCACATTTCTCAGAGAAAGTTAGGCACTAGCAAGGGCACCATTTTATCCAGGGAACATGGAGTTAACTTTTCAAAAGCTCTGGCTTTCCAACTTTCAAATAAGGGGTACCTCCCCACTTAATAAAACAAGAATGATCATTTGGTTTTGATTCTCCCAACTATCTTTAGTGCGAAGAAGTTGGTACTTGAACTTAATAGGCCTCATATCGTATTCTTGATTGCATTAAAAAATTTTTATTTCTCTTGTATAATTTTTAATGATTTGTTGGGGGATGAAATCCTTGTGAATTCATTGAATTCATCTAATATTCTCAGTGACTGAATATTTGTATGGAATAGAATATGAATCAATCTTTTCAGGTCACTTTTGGAACACAAATGCTTCATTAATTATGTTTTGATCGACTGGCTATGAATATGTGTACTTGAAACCTTAATTTGCATTTGGAAAGTGAAGTGTTCCATTCTCAGGGACGTGACTACAGCAGGAACCAATCCTTGTTTGTTATCTTTGTCAACCTTCAAGGAATAGTATCATGGGCATTTGGACCCACTGCTTTTGAATTAATTTCAGAAACCTAGAGAAATGCTGCTTAAGCTTAATATAAAGAGTGAGCAGCATTAGGCACTCAAATGTTTTTGGCATTTGGCTTTAGGATGCCAAACAGAGTCTGTTTTGGCATTCTGAAACAGAACATAATTAAGAAACACAGTTCTGAAATTTAGTCAAATGACGTAATTGATTAGAAAGTTAGGTCTTCCTATAGCTGTTGTCTGAGACCTGTTAATACTGTGAAGTCTGATGTTCAAAAACAAATACAGGACTAGTTGATTAAGTGCAATATTAATCACCACTCATTGAGGACTTTGTGAAGGCTGTAATATTTGTTAGTCAAGTCTATCAGTATTAACAGGCAGAGAACTCACATTCTTGTTTTTGATTTGATGAATTGCAAAATGTGTTTATTGCGATTTCCCGTTTTTTGGAATGGTGAGGAACCATGCACAGTAAATAGACTGAGTTCCTTTAGAAATGGCTTCAGCTTCTTTTGGAAGGTAGGAAAAACTTCTTCTTAAGGGACTTCTGTGTTTGCCTTTTACTAATTTTATGGTGGTATTCTTGAGCACTGAAAAGAGCTGGAGAGAGGAGCAAAGGAATCTGTCTGAGAGGCTTTCCAGCCCCCGAGATACAGCTCAGAAGGACTCCTCAGAAGGGAAGTTTAATGCTTCTATATATTGACATTGACGCCTTGGGTGAAATTCTGTCCAAACATGAAATTCTTCATGTTCAACAGCTCAGTGTGATAATATTAATTATTCTTGGGTGGAAATTGACATACTTTTGGATAGATTATTTTTGCATTTGAAATGAGCTGCTAACAGTATGCTTACTCTTCAAGGCTGTTTTTTCTTACTGATAGAAAGACACAAATGTCTCAGGGAAATGACTTTGTGATAAAGGAATTCTTATGTGTGTCATTACAGTAAATTGCTTATTGTAAATATGACTGTTACGGTTGATTATAGTCCTGCTGTGATGTTGTTTTGAAATTTGCAAGAGGGACAAAAAAGCTTTTATGATTTTGAGGGAGTAAGTGATGAATATTGCCAATTTACATGCTCTCTGAATCCATGGACAATAGTTGTTTTTAAAAATGAAGATTCCTTGTCCATGCAAAGCTGGGGAGGCAAAAAGAGACAAGAAAAGGAAAGAAAGAAAAAACAAAGAACAAAAATCACATATCCGAAAATCACAGCTGCATTCTTGGTGTGAAGAAAGTTTGATGTTTTACTACATATTTGCAGCAATTGATCAATAATATTTGAAAATACAGTTCATTGCTTTATCCTAAAAGTAAATGAACTCTATTCTTAATTGAAAATGGAATGTCTTTTTCCCAAATGTGAGAAGCTGCCTTTTTGTACTGTGAAGTTTTGCACTGCACCCAGCTACTGTATTTAGAGATAACAGACGTGTGTGATGGCAAATATGTGACTATTCAAATTCTGTCATTTGAGAGTAACTTAACTTTGTATCTTCGGAGCAAGGATAGACTTTATGGAGGATTATCTCTGTCATGTTGACCATGGACTAGTCCAGAAGATGCTTGGAATTAATATGGTGAGGTCCCAAATGAAAAATCAGCTGCGGTTTTTTGCAAACAGATGATAAACTGGTCCCATAAAATAAGGAGAGAGGTTTGTGCCAGAAATAACAAACCAAGAACAGTCGGTGTCAGGCCTGAACACCTTAACTCAGACTGTGAAGGTGACATAAAATGACATTCTGTTTTTTTTTAAATGATATTCTTAAACACCTTTAGTTCTACATTTCAAGTGCCATTGGAGTCAGGATTCTGAAAACAACGTAAAGCTGTAAGTGGCTATTAAAGTTTAGCTAAAACCTTTGTCCTCCATGTTCTTTGTGTTTACCTCATGTTTTTGTGACCTTTAGAGGAAATGGAGCTGGTTTAGGGAGACCTCTTGGCACCGAGGAACACACGAAGTATTCGCATAAACCTACCTTTACTTTGAGGGTGGTGAATAAATACAGATCCTTAGGAGGGAAATCCTGATTTGTTAAAAATGAAAGATAGATCCTTCAAGGAGGTTGGACAATCCCCAAATAAAAATTGCTTTGAGAAGTAGGAGAGCAAGAGGAAGGAAAGTGGTTCCCCAGGGCCGGGATCCTCCAGCAGGCCCTTCAGTGGGTGGTGAGTAATTAGCAAGCTGTAGCTCCAGAAACTTCTGTGACCCCTGCAGCTGAGTCTCCTGGAGGCAGCTGACCAGATCTTCCCCCAGCATGCACTTATTGTTGGGCTGCAGCAAGTGGACCACCCAGATCAGTAGCAGAAGACCTCAAAGACTGTTCAGTAACCTGTTGGTGGAATC